GTTTCATGTGCATGTTCAGAAAAACTTTCAAATAGTAAGAAGAGTTTTACAATGTAGCCAATTTCCCAGAGAAGCATTGGCTTCCATCGTTTAAATGAATCCAAGCAATGGTTAGACAGCCATTGGTGCTTTAACTTGAATTCCTGCAGTGAGCAGGATGCTGGATTTAGTTACCTAAATGACACTTTCCAACAGTATGACTCAACTTACCTGATGACTGTTAGCAAAAGCTAAATCAGTTTTTTTATGTTGGATCTGTTTATATACATTAGGATTATGGAAAGCAGTTATCATTGTGAACGGCTATTGCGTAGTTTTCTCCCAATTTCTCCAAGGAACTTTGAGCCAAAAACACTGAGTTATTGGGTATTGCCTCCAGCATGTACTAATTTGTTTCCATTTCCCCCCAACACAATTTAAAGTGGCTTTACAAGTAGCCCTCATTTAGCAATCATAATTGGGACCAGCAACTTGGTTGTTAAGAGAAGCAATCACTGAGTGAAACTATGACTGTGCTTATGATCTTACTTCAGCTTTCCTTTGCTTTACAGACCTGCAAAGGTCGTAAATGCAAGGATTGGTTGTGAACTTTTTCATCATTGCCATAACTGTAAACAGTTGCTAAATGAGGCAGTCACTAAACAAGAACTACCTATAATTTATATTGTGCGATTTTAGCAAAGTGTAATGCCATCTTTTTATTATATTTGCTAATTTTTGTTGGCTTGCTGAACTAGATATAAAAACCAGTGCTTACAAATTCATTAATTTCAAAACCAGATTATCCTTTCACGATATAAGACTTCACATAGAACCAAAAGTGATATTATTGGCCAGTCACAATAAACCATTTTCCAGAAGCAGAGCTGGTTGTTCTCCCTTATGCCTTGCACAACAACTCTTAAAACAAGTGGACTGAAGTCATTCAACAGTGTTATTTTCTTTTTTGCCTCTGGTTTTATTTTTTATTAATTAGGTAAAACAAACAAAAAAAACAAAAGGGAAATAAATAGATACAGTATGCATGCATAAAATAAACTTGAATAAACTAGAGCAAAGATTGAAGTGAAAAATATGATTATATTTTTTTTTGAAAAATTAAAAAGAGAAAAAAGGAAAAAGAAAAAAAAATTATAGAAAAAAGCATTCTAGTAGGCCACCTCTCTTTTTGTTCCCCTTTCTTTTTTTCCTCTTTAATTGCTAATTGCTACTTAAATTTTTTATACTATGTTTCGGGCATCTGCATGGTTGCTCATTTCCATTTGCAGTTTCTCTTTTTCTAAGTATTTTAGCTTGCCTTGCTGTGCAATATGTTGTATATAAGGGAGCTATTCCTGCTTGAATTTGGTGAGACTTCTGGTGTGAATATATAGTTAATTCTTCGATTGCCGGATATTCTCCAATTTTAGTCTCCAAACCTTTTATTGTCAGTGAGGGTTGTCTTCTCTTGTGCCAGATTGATTATTTTTATTGTCAGCATATATCTTAATAAATTGTGATTTCATTTATATACTCTGGGATCATATCTAATAAAATATTTGTGGTTTTAATTCAAATTTTATTTTCAGAATTTTTTGGATGCTTTGGTTCTTTTCTTTCCATTACTTTTGAGTCTTTTGTATAACTACCGTATGGTAAAATGTTCCTTCTTTGTTGTGGCATTTCCAACATTTATTGTTGTATGATTTGTCCAACTTGGCTATCTTTGACCAAGTTTTATACCATCTTGTACCGATTTTTGTACTCAGAGCAGGGGCTTCAGGGTACTCTGCTCTGGATAAATAGACTAGCAAAAGCTGGTACTTTGTTAAGCAGTATGCCATAGCATTAGTTTTTAAAAGGAAAATTGAAATCAGATGGAGGCAGAGGTTTGGTGGACACCAAGGATGGTATCTATAATAAGAAGTAAGGTGACAGTTCATAGTTATTTTCTCAGAGTGATTTTGTAGGGAGCTTACAAAAGTATTTATTTGGGAAGTTTTTGGTTTTTTTTTAA